TAGTTTCAATTTTGAATATTTGATTCAATATTTCATTTTTTTTGCTTAGATTTTTACTCAATTAAATTTGACTCAGACACTGAATCTAAATTAAGCCTCTGATTAAGCAGGTCTTCCAAATCCTCTATTTCTTCTTTGTCCATTTTTTAATTAAAATATCCATAGTTTTCCGAATTCTTATAAAGATCTTGATGGTTAGTTAATCCAAAGACATATTTGCTCTTTTGGAGAAACTCAACTGATTATTTGTTCTGAGGTGTTTCAGCTACTTTGAATGGGTGATTTTTATTAATTATATCTAGTGTCTCAGAAGTATCAACGTCTCAATTGTAATTAAGAATTTCAGCTAGTTATTCACTATTAAAATACTGATTTTCTATTTCTTTGTAATGGCTCTCGATTACAGAGTGGCTCAGTCCACTTTTGAAGACTTACCTTCGATACATATGTTCCTCAACTGATCCCACACATATAAATCGATAAACAATTACGTCTTTTCTTTAGCCAATTCTGTATAATCGATCAATGCACTAATTATCATTTGCTGGATTCCAATCAGGATCTAGTATTATAGCTCTATCAGCTCTTGTCAAGTTTAATCCTAAACCAGCTACCTTAGAACTCAAAAGGAAACAAAATGTTCCATTTTCGTTAAAATGATTGCAGACATATTCCCTCTCTTATGGTGGGATGCTGCCATCCAATCAATTGTAAGTAAAGATTTGTTTATAGTATTGAATAATCTAATTTAAAATTACTTGCTAATTATATTACTTACTGTATTCTCAATTAAGTCAAGAAGGATGATTGATTTCGTAAAAATTAAAACTCGATTTCCATTTTAATGAAGGCTCTCAAGCAGTTCAAAAAGAAGTTTGATTTTATTAGAGTGATTTATCCAATCAGAGTATTTATTTATGTTAAATGCACTTTCAATGAAATTATGTATTATGCCTATTTGCAGAGATTTATTTACTTCTCCATATTTCTGATTTTCGTCTTCACTTCCTTGTTCATCTTCCTTAATTTTCTTAAGATACTCTCTAAATTTCTAATACTTTTCTCTTAATTTCAAACCTCTTTTATTATCATAGCCTAGATAATGCCTCATACTCTTATTTGGTTTGACAAGGTTTTTAACTATATATTTATTAGAAAACGAATTCAGTTACTATAATGACGGAAAGGAATTATAGGATGAACACATAAGTTTCTTAGCACCTATATAACTGCTAATATCTTTATGTTGCATTTCGTGTTTTTCGCTATTTTTGCTTAACTAATCGCCTTGATAGTGACTTCTGAATTAAGAATAAGCTCATAAATTTCCTTTTACATGTCACTTAATGTTACCCAAACAACCATATCAGTCTTTAAGGGTAGCACAGTTTCCTTTTCCTATATTGGATTAAGCTCTGCAGATCTGATTTTGAAAATTTGTTTCTTTACTCTTCTGAGAAAGAAAGGGGCGTAAATCGCTATTGATATATTATGCATATTAAATATTACATTTGAGTTCTCTTATTTTTTCTCTAGCGATTGTCACCATCTCAATATTTTTGAAGTTCTTAGATCCTTATTCAATCGGAAAGGAATAGTTTCGTTTAAAATTGAAAAATTCTCCGAATTTCCCATCCTATACTAAATCATAAAGACTATATAACTCCTCTAAATTGTTTTAAACTGGAGTGCCTGTTAATATAATTTTTTATTGCTTAACCTAAAGACTTTTGAAACTTTTTCTGATCATTGTTTTCACATTTTTCGCTCTGTGACCTTCATCAATTATCATCATGTCAATATCAAAGCGGGCTTAAATATTCTATAGTTGATTTTCAAATATCTTTGGAGACACTATCAATATCTCAGGGCAATTTTATATTCTTTAAGGAGAAAAAACCTCAAGTCTGTTTCCTTTATCTCTTATGTCTAAGATCTTATACTGTAATCCTAAATTCCATTATTTGATAGTTGTTTTCCAGTAGTCTACAATAGATGTAGGGCATACTATAACAACATCTTAAATCTCATTTTTAAGTAACAGATTTCCTATTAGAACGCAAATCTAAAAGTAAACAATGATTTCTTAATATAATTACTTGAATTGTTTTTCCCAAACCCATATCATCAGCAACTATGCAACCTTATGCTTTCTTATAATTTTCATAAAGCCACTTTACTCCTTTTACCTAGTAATCAAATCTATAAAATTGTTGAAGTAAAAAAAATAATGCATACAACTTTACATAGTGTTCATCATGAATAAACTAGTCATTGAGATATGTTATTTCCCTTTTCGCCCTAAGTTTATTGCTAGGATCTTTCTTATAATTATTTCCTTGCCCAATCTAGTTGTTTACAATTTAAATATCAAGTCCTTTTTCTTTCATCAACTTTTAATATTTCTCAAACTATTGCATCAGTTCATCCTGAATGTTCTATTCAACTTCAAGACGAGAAATTTTTTCTTCTTCGTTTTTACCTTTATTTGCTACTTAAGAACGAGTTTTACAAATTTATTAATCTTTTTTATTGCTATTTTTATTACTCTTATCAGAATTTTATGTTTCATTTTCAGCTAAATAGGGGCTGTTCATTATACTTCTAGGCAAAGTCTAACTCTATTTCATTTAAAGTTACTTTTCTATGACATCATTTTAAGAGGGGTTAAATATTGAATAATCTAATCTTTCATCTGTAAGATCGAAGATATCTGCTGACTTATCTAAAATGTAGTTAGGGTCAACATGCAACCGAGATTAATGTATATTATAAGGCTCATTCTTTCAATTAATATTCTCATCTTCATTATGTTTTTCTGGGGCCTAGTATGGAAGTGCTAATATATTTTAGTGCACAGGCTGCATGCTCTGAATATGAGTTGCATTCTAAAATTGCTATTAATGGCATCCTATTCCTCCTCTTGAAGACTAAAATGAGCTATTTATTTATGAGACATCATTTCCAGTATTCAGATAAGAATTTTGTTGAAATTATCTTGTCATTTCTTACATTTGGTTCATCATCATTTGTTGAAGCATCATTGTAAATTATTAAGCTTGAGACATTGATCCTTGCATATTTTGGAACATAGCCTAACCTGCATAATTATTCATGTCATTAGAATATGCATTTTATTATTAAGTGGCTGGAGTTACGAATGGAAGTTACTAATTGTTGGTATTTTGATTCATTAGTCTTTATGTGGTTTATTTATATTTCTAAGGAAATTTTATACATTTCGAACTGTATTGAACTTAATTCGCTATCAGATTGCTGGCTAGTACACCTCAATAAAAATACAAGCTCAAATAATTAGAGTAATATTTAAGGAATTGATAAAAATTATACTTACTCCTACCCAACTTACATATTAAAAAAAAATCTCTTGGGGTTTTGGGGTTTTGGGGTTTTGGGG